ATAAATGTGCAGTATGGAATATTATCGGTATTATCGCAGTTGGATGTACGATAGAACATATCCAGGAAGAAGTGGACTTAAACCCAATTTTATAGTAGGAGTTGATGGGTTTATTAAGTGGGCGTTTGCTCAGGATTGTTGTCGAAGCGAAGGAGGGGTTAGGTGTCCCTGTCTTAAATGTGAATGTAGACCAATAATTAGTGACCCAGAGGAAGTAACACGTCATCTGCATAGAAGGGGATTCATTGAAAATTATTGGGTTTGGACGTATAATGGTGAAGAACTACCGGTTAATGTACCAGAGACTAGCAACACGCATGCTTCAAGTAGTCGACCGATTATGGAGTATGAGGAGAACTTTAATTTGATCGGTGACATGGTTGAGGATGCTTTTGGTGTGAACGTGACATATGATGAACCTGAAGATTTTGACGGGGAAGAGTTGCCGAATGAGGAAGCGCAAAGATTTTATCAATTATTGAACGAGATGAATACGCCGTTGTTTGAGGGGTCGTCAGACTCGAAGCTATCAATGTGTGTGAGATTATTGGCCGCCAAGTCAAATTGGAATGTTTCTGATCAATGTCTGGAACATTTTGCAAAAATGATGTTGGACTCCACCGCTACGAAAGACAATTTGCCTACAAGTTATTATGATGCAAAGAAGTGGGTGTCGAAGTTGGGTTTAAAAGTAAGAAAGATTGACTGTTGCATTAACGGTTGCATGTTGTTTTATGACAATGAGTTTGGTACTCAAGATGGATCGTTAGAGGAGTGTAAGTTTTGTAATAGTCCAAGATATCAAGTTCGCAGTAGAGCCGTTAACAGCAAGCAAAAGCGTGTAGCAGTAAAATCCATGTTTTATCTTCCTATAATACCAAGGTTAAAAAGAATGTTTGCTTCAATGCACAGTGCAAGTCAAATGACATGGCATCATACAAACCAAACAAGTTCTGGCACTATGCGACATCCATCTGATGGTGAGGCATGGAAGCACTTTGATCGGATACATCCAGATTTTGCTGCAGAACCTAGAAATGTCAGGCTTGGATTATGCTCTAATGGATTTGCCCCATACGTGCAAGCGTCAGGAAGTGCGTATTCTTGTTGGCCAGTTATTGTAACACCTTACAACCTCCCTCCTGAGATGTGCATGACAAAACCATACATGTTTTTGACGTGTGTTATTCCAGGCCCGCACAATCCAAAAGCCGGAATTGATGTGTACTTACAACCTTTAATTGATGATTTGAAGAAGATGTGGATTGGAGAATGGACTTATGATATATCCCGTAAACAGAACTTCACATTACGAGCTGCCTTGATGTGGACCGTTAATGACTTTCCAGCATATGGCATGTTGTCTGGTTGGGGTACGCATGGAAAAATGGGTTGTCCGCATTGCATGGGATACACCAAAGCATTTACGTTGGATAAAGGTGGGAAAAGCTCATGGTTTGTCTGTCACCGCAGATTCCTACCAGCAAATCATCCGTATAGAAGAAACAAGACAAATTTTAAAAAAGATGTGCGAGAGAAAGATTTGCCTCCGCCTCGATTGCCACCAGGGGTTATATGGAACCAAGTATGTGAACTACCAAAATTTACAGATACTGGGAAAGCATGCCGAATTGAAGGATACAGCGTCACCCACAATTGGACAAAAAGAAGTATATTTTGGGATCTTCCGTATTGGAAAGATAATTTGTTGCGCCATAATCTTGATGTTATGCATATTGAGAAGAATTTTTTTGATAATGTATTTAACACAGTGATGGATGTGACAGGAAAAACAAAAGATAATGAGAAGGCCAGACAAGACATGGGAATTTGGTGTAATCGAAGAGAGTTGGAGTTGAAGCCTCAATCGAATGGAAAATTATTAAAACCCAAGGCTTGTTTCAGTCAGACTTCCCAAGAAGCTAAAGCGGTTTGTCGATGGTTAAAAGAATTGAGAATGCCCGATGGGTATTCATCAAATTTAGCAAGGTGTGCTGACCCTAACACTGGAAAATTACATGGTATGAAAAGTCATGATTGTCACATTTTTATGGAACAGATGCTACCAATTGCATTTGGATCGCTACCCAAACATGTTCTTGACCCACTAACTGAAATTAGTCAATTTTTTAGAGATATTTGTGCGTCAGCTTTAAAAGTGGAAGACATCATTAAGTTGGACCAAAACATTGCACTCATTCTTTGTAAGTTGGAACAAGTATTTCCGCCTGGTTTCTTTGACTCCATGGAACATTTACCTGTGCATCTTGCATATGAAGCTTATCTTGGTGGACCTGTTCAATATAGGTGGATGTATCCGTTTGAAAGGTTCATGGGTGATTCAAAGAGATCGGTAAAAAATAAAGCTAGAGTAGAAGGATCTATATGTGCACATTACTTGCATCGGGAAACATCACATTTTTGCAGTCACTATTTCAATCACTTGATGTTAACTCCTAGAATCATACGGAATCCTGTAAATGTCAATCAGAGGAGTCAATTCACCTTATCAGTCTTTGCGCTTCAATCCTCTTGGAAGAACTTTGGCGAGGTTACAAATAAAGAAGAATGGTTTAAAAAATTTAAGGTATTGTTATTTATTTAAGTTGTAAATTTAATATATTTTTTTAGTATTGTTATTTAAGTCACATTTTAATGATAATTGCTTAACTTTTTATTTTAATGTCATACAACATTGCAGGAAAAATGTGTGTGGGATCCGTTGAATGAGAAAATTATGGAAAAAATCTATTATAGCAGAACTTCTAGAAGATTTTCTGATATAATGCGGCGGGTTAGGGAGAATTATGAGCTGCATGGTATCCGTCCTAACTGGATAGGCGTAGAGGTTTTTGGCGAACTTCGTACATATTGGGGTTCGCCAGAATTCAAGGCCAAATCCTAAAATTTTAAGAAGATGAGGGCATCCGAAAAGGGGGGATGTGTCAATACTGTTGGAAGTATTAGCACTGTAGAGCATGTCCGGCGGATGGTAAATATTACTAATTTTTTAAGTTATATATATTTTTATTCATAATATTTTTTACTAATTATTTTTAACTTTATTGTTTAGACTAAGGAGATGGGGAGACCACCATTGATCATTGAGTTGATTACGAGGACTCGGACAAAGAAATCGGGAGGTTTTGTCGACGACCGCACCCAGAAAGCTTTTGTAAGTAATTAAACTTATGTTTTTTTTTAAGTTAATAACAAAAATAGTGACGTTATTTCCACGTGGCAATCTATAAGTTGTGGCGTGATTATCATGTGGCAACTGATAAATTGCCAGGTGACTGATTTTCATGTGGCAACTGATACATTGCCACGGAAAACTCACGTGGCAATTCATAAGTTGATTTGTGAAAATCACGTGACAAATTTTTAATATATTTGAATTTAGTATAATTTAATATATAAATGTTTTAATTTTTTTTTTAATTGTATTATTTAATGTATGTGTAGGATGATTATCAGACATTGCTAGCACGTTTTCTGGAACACAATCCGCAATATAGGCCAGCAGAAGGGGAGCCGCTTAATGGGGATGTTGATTTCTATATTTGGAATGAGGTTGTTAATGGAAAAGGGCCTAATGGTTGCTTTTTTGCGGGAGGAAATTTGGCCACCGGCTTGAGAGTTGGTGATCGTAATTTGTTTCAAAGACTTAGAGATGGAGAAGGGGGGTCACGTCAACCCAATCTGACACAGGTTCAACTTGAAACAGTACGACAATTGGCGGCCAGTGAAGTGAGACGCGAAATGGAGGCCCAAATGACGACAATGAGGCAAGAGCAGGAGCGTCAGTTAGAGATCATGCGGAAGCGGCAATCTGATATGGAGGAGCAGATGAGACAGTTTATGCAAGGCGGTCGAAATCAAAATGTTCCTGATTATACACAGCCGGATGATGACGGACTTGATGACTTTGATCTTGATAATTATTCGGGTGAAGATGCCCCGTGAAAACATTTTTTTTATTTCGTTTTTATATTTGCATTTATGTAAGATATTTATTTTTATCATTTTAAATTATTAAATTATATAACATTTAATTATATGAATTTATTTTATAAAATTCTATTATTCGAAATATAAAATAAAATACTATTATTCTAATAATTTTAATATATAAATTTTATTATATAAATTTTATTATATAAATTTTAATATATAAATTTTATTATATAAATTTTATTATTTAAATTTTATTATATAAATTTTATTATTTAAATTTTATTACATTAATTAATTAATATAAAAAATAATTACTAAACAATTTTTAAAAAAATAAAAACGTCCCTTGTAGCGACGTGAGAATCATGTCACAAATTAGTGACATGATTCTCACGTCGCTAATAAAGCTGCTATTATATTCCCTGCTACAAATATGTTGCGACGTGAATACCACGTCACAACTTTGTGACGTGGGAATCACGTCGCTACATGCTTGCCACTGACTCCCCAGCGACATAAGTCACCACGTCGCTAATTTTGTTTTGCCACGTGATTTTGATGTTTGCCACGTGATTTTCACGTGGCAAATAAGCTTTTTTTTTGTAGTGGTGTCTCTCACGAGTTCAAGAAAACCATTATTCAATAAAATCATCAATTATTTCATTCTCATACATACACTAAAAATAGGAATATTATTTTGAAAGTGACGTAGTTAATCTAAACATTTTGAGACGATTAATAGTCAATTGTCATGCATCCCACCATCTATCATTTCTTTATGCCAAGATATGAAGACAAAAACATTTCAATCACAATGTGGTCATCCCATCCAGCAAAGCCATGACATCATTCAAATTATGTTTACTTTTACTTTTAGTTCTTGGAAATAGAATTGTATTTCTGACAAGGTCATACAACAAACACCAATTACCATCCTATATTTTACATACTATACTATTCCTATTCCTGTATAAATAAAAATCACAGAAATATCAGAGAAGAATTCAAAATACAGTATCTCACAGGCTCAGTGCATATTCAAGATGAAGAAAGCACAAGTTGTGTTTATCCCTTCTTCTGGTTTAAGCCATTTAGTTTCCACCCTTGAGTTCGCCAAGCTTCTAATCAACCGTGATAACCGTTTCCGAGTAACCGTTTTAGTTATGAAACTTCCAAACAACTCAGAAGCTGAGTCATACATTGATTCCCTTCCCGTCTCCGATTCTCTGCACCTCGTCAACCTTCCAGAAACTTCTCTTCCTCCAAACACCGATCGAGCTTCCGCTATGATCGCTCTCATCGAATCTCAAAAACCAAACGTCAAACAAGCCGTCTCTAACCTCACTGCCGAAGAACAACTACATGGACCCCTCGCGGCTTTCATTGTTGACATGTCCTGCACTACCATGATTGATGTTATCAAAGAATTTTCCGTTCCTTCCTTCGTTTTCTTCACTTCTGGCGTTGCTTCCCTTGGTTTGATGCTTCATCTTCACAGACTATTTGAGCGAGACAGCTTCGATTCGACTAAGTTACAGCAACAGAACGAGTTAGCGGTTCCGAGTTTTGCCAACTCGATTCCTATAAACTCGTTTCCTAGTTTTGTGCTAGACAAGGAATGGAAGTCGTTTTTTATGAGCTATGTAGGAGGCCTCAAGAAGCCAAATGGCATTATAGTAAATTCATTTGAAGAGCTTGAATCACATGCAGTTAACTCATTTTTCTCTCATCCTGATCTAGTAGCTTTACCTATATATCCGGTTGGGCCCTTATTAAACCCTGAGCCCAAAACAAAGAGCACCGCTGATTCAGATGATATCATCAAATGGCTTGACGGTCAACCTCCTTCCTCAGTTGTTTTCCTCTGCTTTGGGACTAGGGGTTCTTTCTATGCAGACCAAATCCAAGAGATAGCACGTGCTATTGAGAATAGTGGAGTTCGTTTCATATGGTCTATACGTAAACCCTCACCGAAAGGCATTATGCCTACACCCTCTAATTATCCACTTTTAGATTTGGTTTCGCTTTTACCTGAAGGATTTTTGGATCGGACTGCTGAAATAGGAAAGGTCGTTGGTTGGACTCCACAGGCTCAAATACTTGCCCACCAAGCCATAGGAGGATTTGTTTCACATTGTGGATGGAATTCCATACTAGAGAGCATATATTTTGGTGTGCCTATTGCGGCGTGGCCTCTTTTTGCAGAACAACAGACAAATGCTTTTGAATTGGTGTGTGAGCTAAAGTTGGGTGTGGAGATTGCATTGGACTATCGTGTGGGATTTGATGGTGATCATAACTATATTGTAACTGCAGAAAATATTGAGAGAGGAATAAAGAGTTTGATGGATAAGGAAGGAGTGATAAGGAAGAAAGTGAAAGAAATGAGTGAAAAGAGTAAGAAGACTTTGTTAGAGGGTGGATCTTCCTACACTTATTTAGGTAATTTAGTTGACTATATTATGAATCATGTATGAAATTAAATTATCTTAATATCAATCTGCTAAAGGTCGAGAGCGATTGAATTAATTATCAACATTAATAATTATAACAAGGATTAATCTTTCACCTATATAATTTGGTCAGAGACTTACAAAACTCTTGATCAAAAGGTTTTGTTTTTGACCTTTTTGCATCTATAGATAGAATAGATGAATGATTCACTTGTTCATTTGAATTGTTCTTGTATTTGAAAATATATTCAACAAGATGTAACTCTACTAATTGCATTATTAGTAGAGCCTAATATGTGTGTTTTGATCTCAAATTCTTTTTCAAATTCTATCTCTTGGAGTCCTGGGGTAAAAAATACCAGAGCGGATGAACACTCGAAGTTATACAGAGACGACACTATAGTTTTATTTTTAAAGAGAAACATCAGTAAAATACTTGAAGAACGAAAATATGATCGTCGCGACCAAATTCATGTTTATAAGTCGTTTATGCGCGGGGAAAATATTAGCACCCCACAACATCCGTTGTACTCAACGGGAACCGCTTAATTAATTTGGAAAAAGTGTTAACTTAAAATTTTTAAGTTTCTTCTTCTTTTTTAAAGTATTTACAGGAAATTAATTGAAAAGGACAAAAATGGATTTTTTTAATAATTTTATTAAATTGTTTAACGAGACGTTGAATCTCGCTCCTATGTATCCATAATGATCCAATCAACCGCTTGTATAGGGTGGCATTTACCTTTTCTTCATCATCATATTCTTTCAGCTTTTGACCTGATTCAACAAGAGTCACAACAACATTGTAGCCTAGCATGTTGAGTTTTTTAGCAAGTCAGTAGCATACTTTGCTTGATGCAAGATCATTCCATCTTCTTTGTATAGATATTCCATACCAAGAAAGTAGGACATGTTACCTAGGTCTGTCATCTCAAATTTTGACTTCATTTTACTTTTGAACTCTTCAGTTTACAGTTGAGATTCTCCATTTATCAAGAGACCATCCACATAGAAACATACCAGCAATAGTATTTCATCTTGCTTGTATTTTGCATACACACCATACTCATCTGAACACCTTTTAAAACCATGAATGAGGAAGAAAGTATCAACTCTCATGTTCTAGGCTCTTGGTGTTTGCTTCAAACCATAGAAAGTCTTGTATTGTCTATACACCATGTGCTCTTTTCCTTTACTTTAAAGCCTGGAGGTTGAGATACATATACCTCTTCATCAAGAGGACCATTTAGAAAGGCGGATTTTACATCCATGTGTGACAAAGTTCACCTTCTACTGCAAGCTAATGCCATAACAACTCTTATAGTCTCATGCCTTGCCACTGGTGCAAACACCTCATAATAATCCAGACCTTGTCTTTGAAGGAAACCCCTTACCATAATTCTTGCTTTGTTCTTCACTATTGTTCCTTTGGGATTCAGCTTTACTTTGAAAATTAACTTCACATCAATTGACTTCTTTCTTTCTCGTAGTTTTGAGTCAATTTCCATGTGCCATAATTTTCAATTGAACATGGTTCTTCCTTCATTGCATCTATACACACCTTGTCTTGCATTGCATCCTGAAAATCCGATGGTTATGCACCTACCAACATTTCCAAGTGTATTATTTCCCCTTCACCATCCATTGCATTGTCAGACATGATTTCATAATCATTCAACCTTGCAAGTATTTGTCTGTTTCTGGTTGGTCTTGCATTTTGAGTAGGATTCACTATATCAGCTCGAGTCTCAGTTATGATAAGATTCACCTCATCAGAGTCAAACTGCATTGGAACCACTCTTGTTCTTTCTTCACCTTGGTTCCAATCCTAGGATTTTGCTTCCCTGATGATCACATCCCTACTAATAACCAATTTCTTAGTAATTGGATTGTATAACATGTATGATCTAGTTTGATGGTAACTAACTAGGATCATATGTTCATTTTTATCTTTAAGTTTTGTTCTTCTATCATATGGAACATGTGATGAGTGATGCAAGGCTTGTTTCCTGGACAAATTTCTTCTGGCACCTAATTCTTTAGGCTCTTTGTGGGACATCTATTTAAAACGTAAGCAGCAGTAGACACTGCTTCACCCCAGAATTTTTGAGGCAATGACTTTTGTTTCATCATTGCTTCTAGCCTTTTCAACCAAACTTATATTCCTTCTTTCATCCATACCATTACGTTGAGGTGTTTATGGGGTTAATTCATGCAAGATGCCACTATCATTACATAATTGCTTGAATTCATGGGAATTGTATTTCCCTCCTCCATCTGTCTTGAGTATCTTAATCAATCTTCCATTGTACTTTTCAGCCATATCTTTAAACTTTTTGAACATGTTTAAAGTTTCCCCTTTAGTCTTTATCAGATACACCCACGACATCCTATTGAATTCATCTACAAAAGATATGAAGTACTTGCTTCCTCTACAAGAAAGAGTTCCAAATGGACCACAAATGTCAGATGAAACCACATTTAGTGGATGTTTGACTCTCATTGACACCTGCTTCATAATAGGTAACCTAATTTGCTTCCCAAGCATGTAAATGTCACATAATTTATCAGGTGTCATTATCTTAGGCAACCCTTCTACTAATTTTATAGTATTCAACTTACCTATAATTCTAAAATTTAGATGCCCGTATCTTTGGTGCCAAAGCCAGCTTTCTTCATCAGCAGTTGATGAGTAAAGACACTGTGATTATGAGGTCTTCAAGCTAGCCTTCCAAATCTTCTTTCTTGTCAGATTTGATTTCAGTGCCATTATTTTCTTCTTGTCATACAACTTCAATGATCCTCCTTCCATGGTTATTAAAAAACCTTTTTAAACCAATTAATTAATGTTCAACAAATTTCATTGCATTCCAGGAAAAATAACACATATTCTAGAAATGATGTTTTTTTATCCCTTCATTTGTATGGAAATCTTGTCATGCCTTCTTACATTAGGCTTCTGCTATCCTCCAGTGTCACACTTGTCTTTTTGCTTGAATTCAATTTAATCAACCACACCTTGTGTCTGTTGCGACCCATTTTTAAATGAGAGTCGCCAGTACTAGTTTTTATCCTAAGGAAGGGCATTTAATAGGAAACCCTAATTTGTAGAGACGGAGGTTCTAAGTTTTGGACCTCATTAGACGAAAGGAAGGTGTTAGGAACCTTTCATCTACCTTATTCTTAAGGATATTAGGTTTTAGGTTTAGATTTTGGGTAAAACAAGGTTTTAATTTTAATAGGGGAACTCGCCACGATTTTTGATCGTATGCCTATGTATCCTCTTATGAGGAATCAGAGTTCCAATTCATAGTTTATACGAGTTTGTGTTTTTTAGGGGTTGCAAATGTATTTTGAATCGCCTCGCATTTTGACCGGATGTGGAGATTGCAGAATTTTGAACTAAACGCACGATTAGTCAAAATACATTTGAAACCCTTTATACAAAATAGTTGTTTAGATTAGTTTATTGCGAAAAACAATTTGGTATTTGTTGTGTATTTTTTAATAATGTTAATTGCAAAAAATCTTAATTAATGCATGATAAAAAAAATATTTTAATACAAATATATAGAAAATAATATATGTACATGAGTTTTCAAATAATTTATTTATGATAACATAAATAATAAATAAATAAATTATTAATAAATTATTAAAAATAATTATTATTATTATAAAAGAAATAATAAGGATGATAAATACAATTTATATAGAAAATAATAATAAAAAAATAGAAAATAATAATCAATTCGGGGGGGGGGGGGGTGTAGTTTTATTTGATAAGTAAAACAGAGGGGTGTTAAAAGGAGGTTGGGCTAGGCCCAATGTATCTGGGGGTGTGTTGTTGTTCTGAATTTAGTAAAACCAGCAGAAGGGGGTGTACAAAGAAATTGGGCTTGGCCCACTATGTAAATTGGAGAGGTCAGGGTAATTGTCTACACGAGGGAGTATGGAGTGTATAGTGGACTTGGCCTATCAGTCGTCCACTGGTGATCAAACGGATGAAAAACACAGGTGCGGGCTCGTTACGGTATACGCGAGGCATTGGATTACAACGAAATATGAGATTTTTGTTTAACACTTTATTGTCATTAATTTGTTTTACAGTAAACGTTTGTCTCTCTCTTTCATCAACTCAGCAAACCCTTCATGTTTTCTCTAACCCCAATAACTACAACCAATGCAGCGGCGGATGTAACTTTGAACCTCTTCCCCAATGCTTACCAACCCACACCCCTTAATCGAGATCAAAACAAAACAAAAAAAGTTGAGTTCAGTTTTTACCCCTTCGTGCGATTTTTCCATTCTGATCTCCGAGTTTCTGGATGACTAATCTCCTCTTCTTCTTCGATTTACAGGTCTTGGTGAAAGCGAAGTAACGGAGGTGTTCAGTGGTGGCGCGATTAAGTTATCAGCGGCAGTTAGGGTTTCAGATGTTGAAACCCTAACCGTCTTCCTTCCGATCTTCAATAGCAAGGTTTTGTTGCTTACTCGTGTTCTTCTTCCAAATTCTTCCTCAGTTCTTCTGTCTTCAAGTTCTTCGACCCCCTCACTGTATTTATTTCTTTAGTATTTATAGGACTTTAGACTTATAGGGCGTTACAGATTTAAGCTTAGATTAGGTTTTATAGAAAAATTAGGGATTTGAATTTGTGATGTAATTGATTATGTTTATTGAATGTAGTATATTTTGATTTAGTTTTTCTATAATGGATTTGATCTAGTTGTTTTAGATTCTGGACTGTAAAAGATTTCTGGGCTGGATTGTATTTTTTTAGCATTTTTAGATTTGATTCAGTAAAAACATTTGATTTAGTGTTAATTATTTGCTGAAGATTTGATTTGGTTTCAATATCTACAGTATTCGTTAGTGGCCAAGAAACATGCGCAATATTCTGTAATCGCTACAGTACTCGTTTCTAATTCAATTTGGGCTTGTCCATTATTAATTGAATTGGGCCTAAAAATACCTAGCCCAACACGTTACCAAAAACAAGAATTCGCGTTCTGTTTTGTTACTG